ATATAAACAGATATGCCAAATTCCACCTAAATACAGTCTTCTTCACTTAGTCCTTTAAATATTCAGAAAAACTGATAAATACCTGTGATATTTAGGATATCCCCTCCAAAGCAGAGCACATCTGAAATTGAGTAAGGGAGAGAGAAGAAGATAAGTCAAAATCAGAAGTATATCAGATCATGGCAGAATCATATATGATCTAAAGAATGTCCTACTGAGTTTTTCCTCATATCTTTTCTGGTCTATTTGTGCACTCCAAGGTTCAGGCCCCTTCTTCTTTCTTCCTAGCTTCTCCTCAAATTTGTCTGTACTTATACTCGTCTTCTCTAAAATGGAAGTCCTCCTGTTCTCTTCAACGCCACTCCCCTATTTGTGCTCTGGATCCTAGCCCTGCTTACTCTCTCAAGAACTTCACTCCTTCCCTTATCTTCTTTCTACTGGATCATTCCTATCAATATTTTAAAATACGAAAACAAAACACACCAAAATTAACCCTTCTGTTCTTGACTTTACCTTCTTCTGTAGTTATTAGGGCTTTTTCTGCTATATTTCCGGGAAAAAAAAAAAATTCTCAAAGACGACATACAATTTTCTTCTGATATCCTATTCAATCAAATTTTTTCTCTGCCATTCTCTCTTCTCAGCTTACTCCAAACTGACTTCGATCTCTGTACTTCATTAAAATTATCAAGATCATCATCTTGCTAAATTTAGTATTTTCTGACCTCCCTGTATTTGGTATCTTTCATTTTCAACCCAGTTTGCTATCACCCTCTTCTTCTAGAGACACAACTTTCTCTTTGGTTTCAGGAATACCACAATATCCTACCTCACGGGCTGTCTCACGGTCTCTTTTGTAGGTCTTTTCTCCCTAATCATAATCCTCTCCTGCAGCTCATTATTCTTTCCTTTTATTTATACTCTCATTATTAGGCTCTTTCCTTTTATTTATACTCTCCCCATCAATGCACATTCTGATTTCTTTATTTGAATAACTTACTGGAATCTCAGACTCAATGTATTCAAAACAGAACTCCTGATTTTCTTTTCAAACCCCAGACTTTCCCATTTCATTAAGTGATGCCACCATCATTTCAGTTATGAAATCCAAAAATATGAGAATCCCTTTCCTCTCCGCTCCCCACTGAAATCCTGTTGAACCTGAAAAATATATTTCAAATCAATCCATCTCCATACAGCTCCACTGTGATATCTTTAGACCAACATTTTTAACCTTGACTGAACAATGGAATGGCTTTTGAGAATTTTAAAAATCCCTATTCCTGGGCCTACCTCAAGATATTCTGATTTAATTGGTCTAGGGTAAATGCTAGACATCAGGAATTTTTAAAATCTCCACAACTGGTTATGTAATGTGTTGCCAAGATTAAGAACCACTAACCTAGACCAAATCTCTATCATCTCTCTACAGCTGCTCCAATTACCTCTTTTAGCTTCCATTCTTACTACCTACCCTCCACTAGCTCCCTATAATCCAACCTCCAAGAAGTAGCTAAAATGAGCTTCCAAAAAATGTAAATCAGATAACATCATTACCTTGCTTAGAAATTTCCAGTTTCCCTTTGTACAAACATATATAATCCAAACTCCTTACTAAGGCCTACAGAGTTTGATGATCTCCAATCTAACCTCAAACCACTCTTCCCCCGCTAGCTCTGCTTTAGCCACTCTGGCCTTCTCAGTTGACAGAACCTGCCAAGCTTTCTCCTATCTCAGAACATTTGTACTGGGCAGTCTTCCATCTGAAATGCTTTACTCTTGGCCCTTCCCTCTCATCATTTATGTCTGAGTTTAACTGTCACCTTCTCAGAGGAGCCTCCTATGATTACCCTAAAACAGAAACTCTCTCACTCTACAATTATTTTTTTACAGCTACACCCTATTTATTTCCTTTGTAGAATGTATAATCTATAATGATCTTGTTTACTTATTATCTGTCTCTCCCACTAAAATAGCTCCACAAGGGCAGGTATTATATCTTATTTTCCAATACATTTCCATTACCCAGCAGTTCCTGATGTTATGATTCTCATATAATACATAATTCCTATCTCCCCCTTTCATTTAAACTTGATGAGAAAAATTGAAAGACATTTTATACTTGTTCCTCAGGGGTAAAGGATGAGTCAAAAAAAATCACATTTCTAAAGGAGATCCCACAAAGTAAGTATTCTGGTATATCTCAGAATGATGGACATAACCATATGGGGCACTGTTAGTAAAGAAAGAGAATATTATACAAGTACTAAAGGATGTAGGATCAGAGTAATTTCTGTTGGTTAGGCCTAACTAGACTGAAAGATACTTGGGTCGGTTTTCCCACCCTCTGCACCTATTACAGTATATGTCACAGAACAGGTACTCAAAATGTGTTCACTGCACAAATAAGGTTTTATTTTTTCTTTCATTCTTTTTAGGCAAATATCTACAAGCTTAATTCATGGCAGACAATAAAGAAAAAACTCATTCCTACCTTATAGGATGCAATACTAGAATAGGAAGGTGTTTTGTAAATTATATTTGATATACACACGAGGCACATTACGTTAGAAGAGACAACCTGAGGAATACTTTATTTTGAAATAAAATACAGATGTGACGTTAAAATTAGCTTTTTCCTCTTTCTGAACATTTAGTCAATAGGATGTAAAATTGGGTACAATGGCAGATACAAAGATCTAGCTTGTCAGTGGCAACCTGAAGTTGAGTAACACTAAAAGACTGACCCTTTAGTATCCCTTTTAAAGTACCCCAGGCCCCCTTCTGTTAAAACTCCCAGGAACCCAGCACCACACCTCCTTGCTCCCCTACAATGGTCACTCACGCTCCACGATGTCACTAATGTAATAACTGAAGATGTGGGCCAGTTTGTCCACGTCATGTTCCGACTTGCCGGTCAGGCTGAACCAGTCCATTAATGCTGTAAACCCTGACCAACAAGGCAGAAATTACTGTTAGCTGCAAATCCTAAATTTTTAGGCCCTATTCCCTCCATGCATCAGACCAGTGTAAAAGAAGCAGATTTCTTGGAGTACTCCCTTATCCCTTAACATGGTGTTACTAAGAAAGTACTCAGGGCCAGGCTAGTTGCTGCTACCTCAGGGAATCCAGAGGACCACCCTCTCCATGTTTCCATGAGCCGCAGATGATGAAGATTCACCCACAAGCCCCTTTTCATCTGAAGCCAGTGACTCCTTTCCCACCATCCTCTAAGGCTCCTTGGCGGGAGGGAACTATAGAACTTCTCCCATGTGAGGAATACAGAAACTACTGACAAGCAGAAAGGATTAATGCTTTATGGAGAACTCTTACTTTGAGCCCCTTGAGGGAAGACACCATGTTATCATGCATCTTCATATCTATTAACACATACACTCCACAAATATTTGTTAAATGAACGACTCTCAAACTACCTGCTAGTTCGCTAACTCCTAGACCACACTTGTGGACCCGAAGAATGAATTAATCGAGCGAATACAATAACTGCATGAGGAAATAGGCTTATCGAAAAATGTTCGGGACTGGGAGAACCTTGGACTCAAAGCCTGCTGTGTGGCCTCGGAAAAGTTTTTTCCCCTTTTTGAGTCTCAATTTCACTGTTTTTGAAGAGAACTCAATGGCTAAGCCAGATCATTCTTAAAGGCGTCCTCCTGTTCTGAAAACAACCCTCAAAGTTTTCCTGCGGAAGCAGCGGCTTGGAGTTAAACAGCACCTTAGCCCGCCCGGGGGGGGCCAGACTGTAAGCGCCGCAGCCTCTAGGAGCTGAGGACCAACGGCCGCCCCTTTGGCAAGCCGGGCGAGCGACGCACCTCCCCTCGCCCTCACCCGTCACGTGCACGCCGAGGAGGACGCCCTGGGCCGTGGCAAGCTCGGGTTCCAATCCCCGGGGCTTTCTGAAGACCAGCAGGTCGGGAAGCAGCGCCGCCAATCGAGCCTCCACAGACCACAAAAGCGGCGCCCCCACCCGCTCGCCGGTCGCCATTGCGGCGGCGGTTGCCTGCTAAACTACCGGAAAGAGTCCTTCCATTTAACAGCCAATCTGCACCGACGGCCCTGGCGAGGCCCTCCCACAAACCAATCAGGATGGGCTTCCTTACGGCAGTGTTAAGCGAAGGCTGCGTGGCCCCGCCCACCTGCTTCTGACCTCCTTGGCTCTTGCTCTGGCTTCCTGGCGGGGAGGCGGGGCAGGGAAGTGCCAAGCGGTCAAACTAGGAAAGTTGACGTTTTTTAAATCCTGAAATGTGATAGTGGGGCTACTTCAAATTTAAAACAGACCTAGGATTAATTATCAATAGTGCGGTCTTTATATCACCCGAGTAGAAACTTGGGTAATGGGACAAGTTCCATTGGCATCTAAGGCAAACCCGGCATGGTTTTGAAATTTAACACTATTGGACTAATAAGGCTATTTCACTGTCAGTCGGTTTCAGTGGTTAGGGCGAGTTTCTTCTATTTCTGTCGTCTGCCAGGGCAAGTCTATTGGGTCTCTCATTGGAGGGCTCCCCAGGCTGTTTTTCTCTCAACTCCTGGTTCCAAGGTTTGTATAATGGCACACTTTAGGTTGCTAGTTTGTTACTCAGATTCATGGAGATCACAAAGCAGTAACAAAATGAGCACGTTGTGGATTCTTAATCAGAAAAGTACTTTTTCTGCAAAAATAATCTAAAACTTCTATCTTCATTATCTATAGTTCTACATAGAACACTTAATCAATGCCCTTTGGGTAAGCTAATTTTACTTGTGGAAATTACTTCTTTGCATTTTGGTTAGCACTTCCAGTAGTAAGACCAAATATTTTCAGGTAAAAGAAAGTATCTCCTCAGTAGGTTGGAAGGGCCAAAAGGGAAGGAAGAGAGATTAATAAATGATTAAGAGGCCTGGACACTACAAGTTTGACATTGTCCACAGAAGTCACAATTTCAACATTGTAAACACAATTTAGAACCCAGGAAATGTAGACTCCTCCAAATACAAATCACTTCTTAGTATTTTTAAAAATTTATTTTAAAAAATAACAATTGCAATGACATCAATGATCAATCACCTGTACTCCCCCTACTGTTGATGGGGGGAAAACCTTCTATGTAGTTGAGTCCCAAAGGAAAATCAAGACATTATTATCAGGCACCCAAAAGCCAGAAAATGCTGTTGGTCCAGTGGTATAGACACTGACATATTCAATGTACCAGTGTAATTAAAATATATATTTACAATTATCCTGCCAAAAAAAACCAACAAAACACAAGAATTGAAATAACTGCATTAAACCAATTATTCATTCACTCACTTTCTGCATCTATGAAGTCATCACTAGTCACAAGGACAAATGAATAAAAGAACTTTTAGTAACAACAAAAAAATCCAAACCTCAACCCACTTTGTGGGTTATTATGGTGTGCTAAAATAACCATAATCAAGGGCCATGAGTTAGTTGAAATGCAGTAACAAAATGACAACTGACGTATGTCATCTCAAAACTCAAATTCAGGAAAAAATAAATTCTGCAACAATATGAGGTTGGTATTACTATGTACAAACTTACACAAATAAATAGTATTTTAGAACTGCTGTTGGCTTAAGTACTAAAAATTAGGTCTGAGGAATTTCTTTCTGAACTCTGCATCTTAAAGACTCCTAAATAAACCAAGGGATATAAACTCCTCATTGTTTTTAGTAACCTATCATCTGAAAAACTTGGGGCTTACTGAATAAAATTAATATCTGAAACTCATGTAAAGAGCCAGAAGTTTCTAGTGAACCTACCAAAGCATCATTAGCCTCTCTCGATAATTGGAAGCCAGGACAGATGATTGGATTCCAGAACGAGGAAGATACCTCACTTCCTGCTTCCTTTGCATAGCTTTGTACCTCTATCTATTTCTACCATTACAATGATTTCCCTTTGTGGTGTTTTCTTCAGAGGGTTTTATATCTTTTCCCTCTTAATACAATTATTTAAAAAGAGCCAATCTTTACTCTTGGTATTTAAGTCAAACCCAGATGTTCTTCAAAAGAATTAAGTTTTCCTTCTTTGTTTCCAGAGAAGGCAGCAACTCTTCCGAAATATCATCTTACTTCTCCCAGGGTTTAACATGTAGAAAGAAAATAGATTTCTGAGGCACAATCCATTCTAGGAACTATGGCCTAGTTCCTGACACTGCAGGAATCTCATACCGCAGGCATCTTTATTTCCAGTCTGCAGTTTATCTCCAGAATGTGAAAACCTTTGTGCACAAGGCCCATGGGGAAAAGTGGGAAACAAATGGAAACTGGCACCAAAAAGTCAACAGCCATGGGAAGAATGAAAATGTTCACACAAAGCGCTGCAGGAGTGAAGCCAGAATCCACCTCAAGCTCTAGTGGGTAATCTGGAGTATGTCCAGGACAGCTTGACTGAACAGTGCTTTCCAGAAATTCTCAAGGACCAAATCTCAGACTTCTCCCTTTCCATGCTTGTTAAAAGGTTACTGTAAATGTAAATTAGTCTCTTCATCTTAATGATCCATCCTAGGCATCCATCCACTGGAGAATCATGCTATATGACAACACATGGGTACACACTACTCTCTCTCTTCTTGTAGGCTTAAACACACACAAACCCTTCTATTTCCCAAATGCTGTCACACCAAGCCTATGATTGAAAATCTCTAGTTTGGCTCTCTGTTTAAGAGTTATTACAAATGTCCTTGGAACTTCAGCAGAGAAATCGTTGTACTGTTTTCTTCTCTACTTAGGAAAGGCAGTTTCAAGGTCCAATACCTTCTAAATTGTCTTAAAAAGAGCCATAGTAAGAACTATGGTCCAGATGACCTGTGAACAGATGGACAAGCAGACAACTTGTCAAAGCTAAAAAATTCAGCAATTTATATTTTTAGTGCTTTAGTCTTTTATCATTCTATCTCCAGAATTAGATTTTTCTTGGTTGGAGTCCAAAAATACCAACCTATCATCTGGGCAGACAGATTCTTATTACCACAGATTAGATGAATGCATCTCAGAGAATTTATTGTTTCCATATCAGGAGATGGAACTTCCTTGCCTGGAAGTCATCTCTGAATACAAACTGTCCATTCACTTAGTCAGCCTGAGATCCCTCATTAGAGGGATGGATGATGTTTAGATTCCATGGGAAGGAGTGGGCTGCAGCTTCCCTGATTGCAGTTTAGGTTGAGAAGGTTGTTCTTCCCTGCTGAGATGGCTGGCTGGCTTCACCAGTCAACATAAGTGCTATGTGTGGTACCGCAGGGCTGGCATGGGTCCCTTGCATCATCCTAATCCATGAAATGTCAATGTCATCAATAGTCTAAAATAGGTCCTGACTGAAAGGGTGAGACAAAGGTTTGCAACTTCAATTTGCCAGATACCACTGCAATTATACTGAGCCACTTGTTAAAACTAAGTAGGTTTCTGTCCTGTAGAAAAGGGCAGAATGTGTTCATCAGTGTCCCACTGGAAGATCTGATCAATTTCCTAGAACAGTGAGAAACAGTGGCGAGGAACACGATCTTGCTCAGCTCCATCACATGGCCTGGGGTTAGGACACTCGGATGATCTGTGTCATTGCTTCTTCATCTGCTTGGTTTGGATCCTAGAGACAAAGAAAGTATAATAATGATTACAATTCTTTGCAAAAGCAACAGGAAACTTGTGGCTCTCACTATATCACCAAGAGAATAGATACAACTTTGCCAAGTAAACCAAAGGCCTGTAATGCATTGGAGTCTGCATACATGGATTAAAATGCAGCTCCATTAGGAAATAAGAGACAATAAACCTAAAAGGATTTAAAAGGGTTAAAAATCTGGCCTGGCACTCTATTATCAAACACTCTAGAGTTGATGGTGTATCTCTTTCCCAAGTACCTGTGTTATGCTTTACCCTTAAAGTTTAAGGGTCCTTAGAGGTGACTAAGAAAAAGACCCAGAGAAACCATGTCATGCTGTATTTTTGTGTCATTATTTTTTCATACTAAGCACTTAGCAGAACTAACTGACATTGGAATAGAAAGGACACTGAAATTTATTTACTTAAATGCAGTCACTTTGAAGATAAACCTGATGCCTGGGTGGATAAATTGATTTGAACTAGTCAAAAAGTTATTCAGGAGTCTAGCAAGCAAGGGCTAACTCCCAAATCTCTTGGATCCCATTTAATTTTCTTTCCACTAAACTCTGCCTGCTAGTTCTCACTTAAAACCTTAAGACAAGGATCAGTCTGTGGAAGCTTTTTCAATACTCCACAATAACTGCCTTTAGTTCTCTCACAACAAGGCTTTGAAGCCTCATGAGTCAAGGAAAAGTTGAAAGATTTCTGAAGGTGTAGGTCCAGAGCTGGGTCTTGATTAATGAATGAGAACAATAACCAGAGTTTACTGAGCTCTCACCATGCATTAGGTATATCACGCATTAAGCTAAGTAGGTGCCTAATATGGCTTACTGCATGAAATCCCCACAACATTCTTGTGAAGTATCAAACAGCACCCACTTTATAGGTGAAGACAATGAGGCTAAAAGAGGCTAAGTAGCTTTACCAAGGTCATACTGTTAGCACACATAATTAGGAATTCCTGGCACAATGACCATAGCTGGCATTCTATATCTATATCCTACATGTATGAGAAATGAGAAAAAAGGGACTGTCAGACTACAGGTAGAAACTAATAGCATAGAAGGAGTCAGTGCTCATATATGGGGACACTGGGGAATTCTAGTTTGACTGTTGAGAAGGGTGATGAGACAAAGTTGCTTAGGTGTAGTACAGAAGTAGTTTGAGATCTGACACAGTAAAAAATGAGGAACCAGCACGTATCCTTGAACAAGAGCCTGAAATGATTAAAAAAGCACTATCTTATAAAGACGATTTGACAATAGTACAGGTGGAATGTGATGATCACACAGAATGAAGTATCTATCAGTAAATGAGGGGACTCCATTAATTCGACAAACATTTACTGAGAGCTTGTTCTGGACAGGGCATTAGCTAAGAGCAAAACAGTCCTCTACCCTCTACACAGCTGATAGTCTAGTGAAGGAGACAACCACTGCACAATTACATAAAACAATTAAACTATTATTACACGCTAAAGAAAAGGAAGATGGGAAATAATGGGGTAAAAAAGATCTACTCTAAATAGAGTGGGCTAGGGATAGACATTTGGATTTAAACCAAACCTAAAAGATAAGGCGGTATCCATGAGGTTGGGAGTGAAAAGCTTTACAGATTGGCTATTTTAAAGATAAAGGTCCTAATGGCAGGAGACAGACCAATGAACAGTATAGAAAGAGCATACAGACCAAGGAATAGGAGGAAATGAAGCCAGAGGCAGGCAGGAGCTAGATCATGCAGGACTTTACTGTCTACGGTAAGCACTTTGGATTTTAGTCTAAGTGCCAAAAAAGGAAAGGGCGGGAGTGGAAGGGGTTTAAACAAGACAATGACGTGATATTATATACATTTTAAAAAGATCACACTAAGATGTGGATAATGGAGAGGAGCACAGAGTGGTAGAAGGGGGACGAGCAGGCAGCTGTTATATTAATCAAAACAAAAGAGGATTAGACCAGGCTGAGAGCAGGTGGAAAGGAAAAAAGTTAACTGATTCAGATATATTTTAGAGGTAAACCAAGAGGACTTCTTCAAAAATTGGACAATTCTAGCTTTAGTAACTGTGTGGATAAATGTCACTTGTTGAGATGAGTGACTGACTGGTTTAGGTATTAAAAAAAAAAAAATGAGTTCTACTTTGACGATTGACTCAGAAATGTCAGTAAGATAAAATCACAGAATCAGATGTAAAAACCAGTATAATATAGTAGTTACAAAGTCCTGGAATTATACTGCCTGGCTTTGAATTTCAGTTGTACCATTTTATTAGGTAGTTTACCTTAGGCAAACTGCTTAACCTCTCTAAATCTCAGATTCAGCTATCAAATGGAAACATTCTTACCTCATAGGGCTTGTAAAGATTCAGTGAAAAAAAAAAAAAATGCTTATGAAAGTGCTGAACATATTGGCTGGCACATAGCAGTTAAGTGTTTGCTGCTGTCTTCTGAAAATCAAGAAAAGTGAGAATTTCAAGAAGGATTTAATAACTGACAAAGATCAGGGGGAAAAAGGTCACTGGATTAAAGACCTTTAGTGTTTTTAAGATGAAAGGGAATATAAGAGACACAATGTTGCATTCAATTTTAAAAATGTCATCAGTCCCTAATGTGAAAATAATTAGAGGACACTGCAAAGGCTTCTTTCTACCCAAGAAAAACAAGGCAATAAAAAGAATGAGAAGTATTAAGTCTTCTTACCTGCATATGAGGACTATCCTTTTCCTTTGGGGAAAAAAATCGTCCACCTTCACCACGCTTCCGTGCCATGGCATGACGGTGCCGAGATTCATGCAGGTATTTCTAAAACAAAAGGTATTTCTAAAACAAAAGAAATAAAACCATTCCTATCCTTATTTGCAGGTAAGTGTGGCCATGTAATTAAATTCTGGCTGAGATGTATGGAATTCCCCGAAAGCTTCCTTAAAAGAGAGGTGCCTTTTTGTTCCCTTTGCTCCTAGGCTGGAGCCCAAGCAGCCTACTTGGACTATAAATAGCACACTTAAGAATATTAGAAGAATAAGATAGGAGGAGAATGAGTTTGACTACTGTGGAAATGCGCTACCTGCCCTGGACTTCTTTTATGTAAGAAAAAAGATCTTATTTAAGTCATTGTTATACTTTTGTTTTTGTACTAACTTGCACAAAAGACAACAGCTTTCACCTGCCCTCAATTGTTTGGAAGGTGCCCAAGGAACAAACCATATAAAAGGTAATTCCAAAAGTAGAAGGTATTCTCTTCCTGTATCCTTCCCAAATATAGACATACCCTTCTTTCCTTTGGAATTTTCCCTTCTGCCTCTAGTTTGGCCCGGGCTTGCCTCCTCTTAAGTATGCGGTGGTACTGTTTGGCATTCACATAGAGAGGCTCTTCTTCAAGCATCTCTGCCCCAGGTAGAGGGATTCTTTGGATAGCAGGCACAGATCCGGCACCAGGCACCATCTGTGTGAAGAGAAAACTAGAGTTTTTAAAATAGTAACATGACATACGGACATAGGAAACAGTTTTCTTTAAAAAAAAAAAAAAAATCACCTTTATTGAGGTATAATTTAGATACTATACAGCACCTATTCTTTTTAATTTAACTATGATACCTTTACTTAACTGTTAAATATTTATCAGTATTTACACCTCAGATTTTTTCATTTTTTTCAATTATAATTGACATACATTATACTGATTTCAGATGTACAAGTTATTAGACATTTATATAATTTCCAAAGTGATCACCCCAATAAATCTAGTACGTACCTGACACCAGTTATTACACTAGTTTCCTCATGCTATACTCTACATCCCCATGACTATTTGTTAATTACCAATTTGTACCTTTTATTACCTTCATCTTCACTCATTCCTCACCCCCAATCCAGCAACCATCAAAATACTCTCTGCATCTGAGTTTGTTTCTGTTGTTTATCCTGTTCTCTAGATTGCACATATAAGTGAAATCATGACATCTGCCTTTCTCTGACTTACTCCAATCAGCACAATACCCTCTAAGTCCATCCATGTTGTTATAGATGACAAGATTTCATTCCATTCTATGAATAATATTCCACTGTATGTATATGTACCACCTCTTCTTTATCCTTTCATGTACCATTGGATACCCAGGTGCCTCGAGGTCTTAGCTATTGTAAATAATGCTGGAATGACATATGGATGCACATGTCCCTTCAAAGAAGTGTTTTGGGGCTCATTTCTTTGGATAAATACCCAGAAGTGGGATTACTGGGTCCTTCTTTGTCTCTTGTTAGACCTTTTGTTTTAAAGTCTATTTGGACTGGCATTAGTATTGCTACACAGTTTTCTTTTTTACATTTCCGTTTTTATGAAATATCTATCCCTTTACTTTCATCTGTGTTTTCTGATCTGAAGTAAGTCTTTTGTAGGCAGCATACAAAAGGATTGTTTCCTTATATATTCGGCCACCCTATTTCTTTTGATTGGAGCATTTAATCCTTTTACCTATAAAGTAATTATTGACAGATATGTAGTTGCTGCCATTTTATCATTATTTTTTCATTTTTATTTTTTCTTCTTCTTCTTAAAGTCCCTCTAACATTTCTTATAATACTGGTTTGATGGTGATCAACAACTTCAGCTTTTTCTTAAAGGTAAACTCTTTATCTGTCCTTTAATTCTCAATTATAGCTTTGTTAGGTAATTTTGGTTGTAGGTCCTTGCTTTCTATCACTTTGAATATTTTGTGCCAGTCTCTTCTGGCCTGCAAAGTTTCTGTGGAGAAAATCAGCTGACAGTCTTATGGGAGCTCCCCTGTAGGTAACTGCTTTTAAGATTCTGTCTTTATTTAACCTCTGGCATTTTAATTATGATGTATTTTGGTGTGGGCCTTTTTGGTTCATCTTGTTTGGGACTCCCTGTACTTCTTGGGCTTATATGTCTATATCCTTTACCAGATTAGGGATGTTTTCCATCATTACTTCTTCAAAGAGGTTTTCAATTCCTTGATTTCTCTCTTCTCCTTCTGGTGCCCTATGATGCAAATGTTGGTAATAGAGGCCCCTTAAATTATCTTTTTTTTCCTTGTTGCTGTTCTGATTGGATGTTTTCTGCTACCTTATCTTCTAAATCGCTGATTTGATCCTCTGCTTCATCTAATCTACTGCTGATTCCCTCTAATGTATTTCAGTTACTGATTTCCTCATTTCTAATGGGTTGTTTCTTATCTCTCTGTTGAAGTTCTTACTGAAATCACTGAGCATCCTTTTAACAAGTGTTTTGAACTCTGCATCTAGTAGATTGCTTGTCTACATTTTCTTTCTTTTTCTGTTCTTTCTCCTCATTTTGGTTGCCTCCCTGTGTTTGTTTCTATGTATTAGTGAGAGCTGCTATATCTCTGGTCTCAGTAGAGTGGTCTTATGTGGTTAAGTGTCCTATAGGGCCCGGTGGCACAGTCTCCCTGGTTACCTGAGCTGGGTGTGCCATGAGTGTCCCTTCTATGAGTTGTGTGTGCCCTCCCATTGCAGTTGAGCCTTGGTTGCTGTTTGCATGGCAATGGGAAGGAAAGACCCTCAGGCTGACTGTGAAAACTGGCAGTGACTACAGTAGGGAAGCTGTTGTGCAGGGACTGACCCTACAAAGCAGGATTTGCTTTAGCAGAGCTCTGGTACAGAGCTGGGTCTGCTGGGTCTGTCATTTGTGGAGGTGGCTGGGCCGGGTGGCATTCCAGCTCAGCCCAAAGTAACCACTGAGCCTCTTGGGAGGGGCCCCACTGCAGGCCAAGTTCAGATGCTGCCTGTGCCCTGCCCAGCGCCACCTGGCAAGAGCCACAAAACAATACACAGATGTCTTCCACCAGTGCTTGCTTGGAGATGCCTGGGAGGGGTTAAACTGAAAATCGAGACTGGCTGCCACTAGTACCTGGCTTCAGGCTGCTTAGCAAGAGGTATGGGGCATGCCAAGGCCAGATGCTACTTGTTTGGGGTTTGTGAATCTTTGCAAGACTTCAGGAAATTCTGCAGCAAGAGCACAGACAGGCCATTTTATGGAAAAGCCACTGGAAGTGGCTTGGGTGGACCCACAAGTTGGTGGGGCAGGGTTTTGGGGAATCATCTAGGTGGGGCACAACCAGTGTTAGCCAGGTTGATGGAAACTCAGATGTGGCAGTTGTATGCAAGGAGTGGGGAGGGCTCAGCAAGGAAACAATGCTCTCTAACAGTGCTTCTGTTTGGGAGAAAGCTGCCCCTCAAGCCCTTAATCCAAAGCCAGACAATTCGGTTCCTCCTCTTATGTTCCTGGCACCTTTCCAGTTGCTGCCCCAGTGCTCGAGTGAGTCTGTCGGCAAGTCAACGTGCAGGGCATTCCTTTAAGAGGAATGCCTGGGACCCTCTGTCTCACTAAGTAACAAATTCTGTTTGTTTTCACAGTCAGAAGTTGTGGGGACTTGTCTTTTTGGTACTGGTGCTTCGGGCTGAGGGGCTTGATGTGGGACTGGGACCCCTCATTCCTCTAGAGCACCTCCACAGCCAAGATACCCCTCCTGATTACCTACCACCACACAGAGGTGTGGGGCCAATCCATTCAGTGTCTCCACCCCTCCTACCACTCCCTATGAGGCTTCTTCTGTACATCCTTAGTTATAGGACTTCTGTTCAGCTAGACTTCAGGTGATTCTCAATGATGGTTGTTCTGTGATTTAGTTGTAATTATGATGTGGTCGTGAGAGGATGCCAGCACAGCATTTATCTACTCTATCATCTTAATCAGGAAACAGTTCCTTGATCCCTGATAATCTATTTTCTTCGGAATGTTAAAAAGAGTAGCTTTTATAGGGTGCTCAGTGAAATCCAGTTCCTAGGAAACATTTACATGAAATGTCTGCATTTTAAACAAACATTCCAGATGATTATGTCAGAGGAGGCCCAGGAATTACACTAAGAACTGACATAACCAGGTCCAAATTCTTGTCAACTCTCGGCTCCATTTTCTAGGGATGTCTGATGCCATCTAATGGTCAGGAACAGTAACCGTAAGACAGTAAAACAGTACAAAAGGAAAACAGGTACAAATTTACTGTGCTACTACAAATGCCTATAGTCATTCAACTAATTTAATTAAATAGTTAGCTTACTATATAATTCAATCCTAATTTTTCTAAACCAACAAAAATACAACACAGTACTACATTTATGAGGCAAGAGGTTAGTCTCCTGTGCCTCACTCTCTCCCCAACTGTAACAAAACTGAATGTCTGTACTGTTTCTTCTAGTGATTTCCTCTACCTCTGTGCAGGCTTCTACTACTTAATTTTTAAACTAACTATTTTTAAGATGTGCTGACATCCTATTTGTACGTATAAGGATATAGATTTCACACACACAACCCAACAACTCTCCTTCTCTATCTTCCCAACGTATTTATATCACACATAATTTGGTTTCTTTGATTATAATCTTTCTAATTTTTAGCTTACTTCTTATTTCATCCACTACAGACAATATATTTTCCAATTCGCAAAGATTAGTAGTCTAACACTCTCTTCATTATTTGAATTCTTCCAGATAACATAAAAACAGACATTTACATCTGTTTAACCAGTGTTATATCTCCATCACTGAGAATACTAATGGTACATACTACGTACTCAGAATGAATTTACAGTTTGTTGTAACATTTATTGTAAAAGTAGATCTCTGTAAATGTCTTAAGGATCGATCTCAACCCCAGGAGGTCAACATTATAAATAAGCTTTATGAGAGACATCAAATTGCAAGTTCAAGAATTTTTCAAAGACAGAGATAAACAGAAAATTAAATTACAGATAAAAATAGTGAGCTGAAGAATCCATTTTCTTACCATGACCATCCCTCCTGAATTGACCACATTGCCTGCCACTGGTAGTGTCACAGTGACAGTCCCTTGTCCACTGCTGGTTGTATTGGTGTTGGCTCCTGTCTGAACAATCTGGGCTCCTGCCAAACTGGCTGCTGGGATGGTGATCATGCCTGAAACAGGGACTGTAACTTTAAGAAAATAAAACATAAAACAAAGAAAAAACAGGTACACAGAAAGGGAACACAGTTAGTCCCTCTTCTATCTGGCACAAGCTCATTCACCCTGGGAAAACATACTAAACAGAACAAGGGGAGAAAAAAGCACTCACCCATTCTCTGCCTGCTTTACTATATAAAAACCAAGTAATCAATCTTTGAAATTCTATTAACTATCTGGGTTCCAGTTCTGAATAAATCTATCATTGAAATGGATACTTTCCTGGGCATTACAATAATAGTTTTCAATGGATGGTCAGACAGTTTGGAGGCTTCCCCTTCTATGGGTCAGTCTGACTACAGCTATACCCACTGTTTCTGTGCATGTGAAACGCCTGCTTCAGGATGAAGATTTCAATAACTTATAATCTGTTTTATCCTAAACTGACAATGAACCAGCCAGTTGCAGGACTAAAACAAAATTAAATCAAGCGCTACACATCCTCAAACTATCAACCCTTGAGGTTGTGCTCAATCCCATGCAGGTCCCCTTCTGAGTCATATGAGAGCACACTGTTACTGTATTCACTGGATCTTGTATATTGCTAAGTTTTAATCACAAGTCAAATCTTTAGTCACAGAATCTAACTGAGATATTCTTTTAGATTTAACTACTTGACGAATCATTCCGAAAGTTCTCAAGTTCAGTTTGAGCCATCTCCCTCTCTCTGAAATACATTCTCTTCTCAAGCCATATTTTATCTCTTTCTTCTTTATGTATCATCTATTTCTGGAACATATCTCTATTAAGGCTCTACACTATATTTATTTGTTTACATGCATGCCTCACTTACTAGAACACCTTTGAGAAGAAAGCGCTTTTTTTCTTAGCAAAGTGCTATATAGTAGACATACAATAAGTCTTTCTGAAATAAACAATGAAGTGGCCCTGAGAAAAACAAAAAAACCCTAAACAGCGATGATATCCCAGATGCCAATTCGACTTCTGATCTATTTCTCCCAACAAAGTAACTCATTTCCAATCTCCTAGGAATTAAAGTTTATACAATCCCTAGGACTGATCTTTTAACCACTGTAGGAACTACTGGTTAATGAAATCAACATTGGTCATGTATTAGTGACAAGGAACCAATAATCAATGAAGACTTAGAAGAAATCTTATTTTGTGCTCAAAATTATGTCATGTTGAGGTCACTACAAAATTTATGAAGCAGTCATTTGCTCAATGGATGAAAAGGGTGTCCCTCAAAGTCCCACAGAAATGAATGAGCACACTTACCTTGCTGGAGAATGGTGCCATCTGCATTAACTGGCTGATAGACAATGGTCTGCCCTTCAGCAGTCTGTGCCACTTGCTGCCCCTGCACAGCAATCTGCTGCTGTGTCTGCAGGAAATAAATCATGACACATTTAACAGATTCCAGATACCACAAAGAAAAGGACCATGTAGTCCTTTATATATTAAAAAAAA